AGACGCAGTATAAAGCAGTAATGAGACGCAGTACAGTAAAGAGATGTCCTTCCATTTCTGATTATTTGTGGTGTGAAAGCAAACAGGCCAATCACAGGATGTTATGATGGTAGACATGTGATTGTAGCAGCTAGACTGTGAATAAATCTGCTGATTGTGAACAAAACAATGAAAGTAAAGGTGAGTCAGAGCGTTAAAGAGGCTGTTTGATGTGACTCTAATGAAGAGGGGATAAAAACGAACCCTGCAGGCGTGTTTCCTGCTGGCAGTCGCTGAGCTCCACTAGAGGGAGGAATGACTTTGTGCTGTGAGAAACACAAACACAGGCATATATTGATTCCAGGTTTAACACGGAGATACAGTCAGAACATGTTGCTGATGTGTGAATACTTTGTTAATGTGTTTTAATGTGTGTGGAGGCGGTCACGTTCACTCCTTAAATCCTAAATGAAGAACAGCAGCGTTCCACTCTGACGGAGACGCTGCTGTTTGCTCGTCAGCAGGTGTGTGAGACAGGTGTGTAATGTGGATTGATATTCCCTCAGCAGTCTCGCTGTACGAGCAATATGCTGCTCATTCACTGCCAGAGAAGACCGAGTGGCACGGCTGGAATCAATTACCTGCTACAGAGACTCATTCATTTTGATCTTTCCTGAGAGGAGGAGCTGCTCTCGGTGTTATTTAGAGGAGCGGTGAGGGAGCACGGTTTATCACACGTCCTTCAAAAGTCGCTCATCTTAACAGCTGAGGACACGAAAAGTTCAGATCTGCCTTTAAACTCTCAGTCCAGACTGAAATATCTCCACCACTGATGAATGGACTTTGTTGAAATGTGGTTCAAACCTTCATGTCCCCACTGTAATAACTTTATTGATCCTCTGACTTTTCATTCAGATGATCATCAGCCATAGATCATGTTAGCACCAGGTGGAGTCTTGATGTGGGTTGTTATGAGTTCTTTCAGAGGAAGTGAGGTGGATCTGTTGGTTGGTTGCTGCTGATCTGGATCTGTTTTCCCCTCGTTAGAGACACAACATGGACGCTTGTTCAGCAGTGAGACTGTTTCTGTGCTGTCAACCTCTAAAGGGAACGAGGCCTCAGCTCTCAGCAGGGATAGATTGATGTGACCCATCAGCTCATTGTGAAGTCTGACCCACATGTTAATGGTCTCTGTGAAATGGATCAGCACCTCCTTCTATTAATGAAACCCACAGACAGCAAGTCATATCACAGACAGACTCATATCAGCCACAAGGAGACTCATATCAGCCACAAGGAGACCCATATTCAGCCACAAGGGAAGACCTCATTATCCAGCCAAGCCAAGAAGACTCCATATAAACCACAAGGAGACTCATATCAGCCACAGAGACACATGAGTACATGAGTGTTATGAGTGCAACTGAAAGTCAAATATCAAATATAAGTTATAATATATAATATAATATATAAGTTATAGTAGATAATGTAATATAAGTTATAATATGATATAAGTTATAGTAGATGAATAGATGATAGTTAGTGGAGGTTAGATTTCGGTAGTCAGACGTGTTTTCAAACAAAAAAAGTATAAACGCTGTTTACTGCTTTCACCTGGTTTCTTTAGGTCGATTTCATTGCTTTAATTTGTCACACTTCATTTCTCCTTTCTTACCCTCCTTCCTCACTTTCTGCTCCTTCTCTTCCTTTCTCTCTCTCCACCCTCCCTCTGTATGTCCTTCCTGCCCTCTCATCAGTATTTGTGTCCATCCTGCAGAGCTACCTGCATTAAATCAAGGCTTGATTAACACCTCCACCATTTGGCTCTGTAAATCACTGGGTCATTCATCACACACTGGCTGCTCTCGTGATGTTGTGTCATCTGTTGTTAACTAAGCCTGATCTCAGTTATTGATTAGCTCACTAATCAGTTTGATTGAATGCCAGGCAGGGCTTTTCCATCTGCATAAAGTACACGTGAGAGGAATGAAGTACACGGTGCAGTTTCTGGTAGTACAGGTTTTAGGAATGAAATCTTCACTGAGCTCCTCATTAACTAATGTTACAGGTTCTGTAACAGACAGGACAAAGACTAAAGCGTCCACGGGGGGGCGCCAGAGAGTTGAAGGTAAATTTGAGTCAAAAACCTCAGAGTGAGAACTGAGTGAAATGTGGACATACAGACATGAAACACACATTGATATCAGTTTAAACAGCGCTCCCACAAACATGGAAACCTAGGATATTAGAGACTAGTTTTCCAGTTATAAAAACACCTGGAAATTAATTAAAATGACCAAATATCCTTCAAATAATCGTTGTTGTCCTGGGAACTCTAATCTCTACATAAACCTGGGTGTGTATTTAGTTTGAAACCTGAAATCTAGGAGGAGCTGCGTGCTGTGATACCAGACGTGGAGTAATATGGCCTTGTGGCAATCAATTGAGTCATTGTTACAGTTAAACTGTAGTTAATTCGCTGGAGGCTGAAGCAGAAGAATCTGCTGCAGTGAGAACAGCCAATAACGGCATGAAAGTGAGCTAAAGAGGACTGCCCCATTTACACCAACCACCTACCTGTAATGAACCTGAGGCACTTCATGAAGGAGGAACTAAAATGGAGTTAAATGTGTCAATGGGAGGGCTACTGGTAAATTATATGAGCAAGTGCTGTCCTGCATTGTAGAGAAAACTCCTGGAAAATAACGTGGGACTCCTGTTTAAAGAGGAGGAAGGAGGTGCTGCGTGGCTCAGATATCTGATCTGACAGGTGCTCGTTAGTTCAGGCAGGTGAAGGTAAACAGCAAAAATCCAGAAAGTGGTGCAGATAATCATGGAAACATGCTAAGCCTTTGCCTCTATGGATGCAGAGTTTCTACCTGTAAACTACACTTATTGTTTTTGTGAGCAGACAGGAAGATTCAGTAGAAGATCTCAACATTAACAAGCTTTGCTACAGTTGTTAGGTAATCAATAATTATTGATGAAGGGACTGAACTATGTGGGCGTTAGATAATAAAATCAACGGGATTCGCTTGGATGAGCTGCGTTTGTTTGCCGCCTTCTGCAGTTAACAAAGGGCGGTGACAACTCCTCTAAAATCACCTACTGCTGTACTGTACGAGCAGGGAATAAATCCACTGAATGTAACTGAACTTTGTTTCTTTCTTTGTGGACCAGATGATTTGGCCAGTAAAGCAAACATCATCATCGACCCCGCAGAGATCCAGACCACGTCTATGGATGACCTGGACGAGGACGAGGAGAGCGGGGCAGCACAGGTGGCGTGTTTCTCTTTCCATGTGATCTTTTTTTTAATCTTCATATTAATTCTACATATTGATAAATACATATTAATTACACTAATTATGGTTGTGTAATTAACAGTAACAAACTAGTTCTATGAATGTATTTAGAAAAGCAGAAGAGTAATGCAGCTACTGGACAAAACTATAATGTTGTCGTTGTTGTTGTTGTTGTCGTTGTCATTGTTGTCATGGTTGTCGTTGTCATTGTTGTCGTTGTTGTTGTCGTTGTTGTCGTCGTTGTTGTCGTTGTCGTTGTTGTTGTTGTTGTTGATTTCTGCACCACAAATTAAACCTAAAAAAACTATTAAAATCATAATGATGGAATACTTTTGTATTTATTATTATTGGTATTAGTAGTAGTAGTAGTAATAAAATAAAAATAATAAATACAGGTGTTTAAGTCAACGAGACAGACATTTCTAAATAGTTTTACACGGTTTTCTGATTGGAAAAACAATATCTGATTGCTTTTATACCATGCCCAGTGTTCTGCATCTGCGGCGCCCCCTAGTGGTGTATTTCAATGAAACTTAGTGGATGTGTTCCAGGTCCATATGGACATATCCTGTGAGACAATTGGCGAAATGTTGTTGACTTATGTCTATTTAGTGTTGCTGAGCACACCCCCTTCAAGCTTATTGGTCAATACGTTGAAAATTAAATAAGATATCAATAAATCTTATAAAAGTATTGATCAGCTTCATCCGTTGATGATCCACAGAAGATCTGGTAACAGTCGGAGAGACGATTCAGCAGTAGACGACTAAAATGTGACTATAGTTCTGAGTCCAGTTTCAGCTTCGACTAACTTAAAATTGGCTTTTTGGGCCGTATTGACAACGCCACCATCTGGCTGATTGGGCTCATGTTTCCAGAAGGATTCAGGTTTTGCAGCAGACGAATAATAAACTATTTAAAGCAAAGTAGAATGAAATCAGTTGAAACACAGCTCATCATTGAAGGTTTGTGTTTTTATCGACAGAGGCCGTTTGGTGCAGCGGCGATGGGCGGAGCTCTGGCGAGGCCCAGCTGGTTGAGTTCTCCCACTCTGGGTCGAGCCAATCGTTTCTTGAGCACGGCTGCCGTCAGTCTCATGACCCCCAGACGACCCCTCACACAGCCAGAGAAAGTGAAAGTTCGCACCCTCGCCGTGGAGCAGAGGACTGAGGAGGACAGTGAGTAGCTCTCAGAGGCAGGTCGCTGTGTGTGAACCTCAAAGACGCTAATTTAGACTTTTTAATGATATTGATCCTGTATTGACAGACTGTGAATTGACGGCCTTTAGCTCGTGTTTCTAGAGTTACGTTGTTGTTACGAACACGTTAGAATTGTTAAAATGTGATATTTCTTAAAGGGAGTTTGGTGCAGGGAGCTTTTAGTTGGATTCAACTGCTGATATGGATCATTGTTAACGTTTAGTCTCCACTACAGAAAACACTAGCTAACTGATAAAGGCTGATCAGGTTGTCTGATGTTAGTTTGATTAATGCTTTAATAATGGGAGTATTGATTATTGATCAGACTGATCAGGATCAATATCAGCGTCACACAGATTACACACTCACAAAAACATTCAATAAAGAATTAAATTGAACTGTGGAACCTTGTTGCTGCTGGTGAAACTTTAATTTGCAGTTTCCTACATTCAGAATATTTATCTGTTGACTGCTGGAAGCAGGTTGGGTTTTATTAGACGTAATCAGCCTCACATGTAGACTTCAGGTCTCATGTTGATATTATTCTTTAACACTGGCCAACCTTCATTAGCTAGGTTTAAACAGCTGTGTTTGTATTCACTCAGTGTCCAGTGAGGAACCGGATCCATGATGGACTCCTGTTAGAAAAGCCAGTGTGAGGCCAATTATCCAGCTGGATCCCACCCACGGGACCCCACACCTGGAGTCTCTTATGTTTCCTCTCACTTTCTCTTTTCTTTCCTGTTTGTTTCTCCTCAACCTGAAGTCGAGGGAAGCCATGGTAACGACGGCCTGTTGCTGGGGCGACCGCTGGAGGAGCCCGATCAGCCAATCGCAGACAAGTCCCTTCTGGAGATTGTTGATGGGATCGTGATGATGTACAACCTGAGTGTTCATCAGCAGCTGGGAAAGGTGAGTTAGTGTTTACACTAACTACAAGTGTTTGTACTGTCTCTTATTATTATTGTTACTGTTATCATTATTATTATTATTGTTATACTGTATTTTATAATATATTACATACTATAGTCTAGTAGTGTGTAATATATTATTTTATACTGTATTTTATATATATTATTATTTACTGTACCTCACACATGTCACAGGAAAATGTGTTTGAGTGATGAAGGTCAGAATAAGGTTTATCAGCGGTTCTACAACCAGTTCATCACATAAAACAGGTATGTGACTGTGGATGTTCCTGGAGACTAATGTGACTGTTGATTAATCCAAACTTTAAATTTAGGCTAATCTTACAAGTAAATGCTCCGAAAACAGTCAAATTGATCACAACCACAACAACAACAACAACAACAACAACAACAACAACTGGCGCCGGTGTCATAGCAGAACTCGGGCTGCAAATCAGACCAGACTTCTTCGTCTTCGTCTTCGTCTTCGTACACTGTGAAAATTCCTGTTTGAAGGTTTTCATGGATCCGATTGATCATCGTAAGATTTCTGATTTCTGATCAGGTTTATTTAAGATTCAGGAACTTGTTTTCTTCTCCGAATATGAGACACATTTCTTCATCTTCAACATCTCAGAACCTTAAGGTTTGTGAGTGAATAAAAGGAAGGTTTGTGGTTGAAGATGAGCAGTAGTGTGCATTCAAACACTGAATAAAAGAGTATATATTGTGAACACAATAGGTTAATGTTGCATATTTTATTCATATGTAAGAATCTGACCTTCACACAGAGGCTCTGATAAACTCTGAAATGTGATTGTGAAGTCAGTGTGTGATCTCCGGTGACTGACTGATCAGTTGAGGTTTCACAAACGTCCTTTTCTTGGTCGAGCTGCTGGTTTAAAAGCTGTGTTAATAATTCTTATGTGGTTGTAGCATCATTCAGCGTTCTGACTCTTCAGTTGGTCTCATGGGTCAGTTCTAACACTGAGGGGAACCAAATCTACAAATAGTCGCTTTAACCTCGGATTACTGCGGCTTCAGCACACTGCAGCCAAAGAAAACAGGCTAACAGAGGAAATGAAAAGCAAATTAGAGTCTTCACAAGTGCAATATGAGGATACACAAATACAGACTACACAACAAGTTCTAAACACCACAGAGCACAAGAGTTGTCATCATGTTTTGAGTTATTTACAGGATGTGGTGCAGATAATACTGTAGTTCTGTGCCCCAGTAAGCTTATTATAGCACCAAATGAACTTTAATGTGTGTAAATGTAAAACTGGCAGGCAGAAAGTCAGGACAGATCTAAAGAATGAATAAATGAATCCTCTGCATACTGTGTATAATGTAACCTTTCACAACCCACAGCATGTGAAAGGTTGCATTTAAATACATCATGTACTGGAACTTTATCAAAAAATCTCAAATTCAGTTCAATTCGATTTATTTCTTTTTTTTTTTAAAATTTAGATTTTATTTGGAAAAGGCAGTATCATGACATACATTCTTTCAATATTTCAGCAAATGAAAAAGTAAATGCATAAAAGATACTTTTCTGTTTTTTTAAGTGTATATATATATATATATATATATATACACAGAAAAGAGTATTCTAAGATAAGAGAAGAATTCTCTTACAGAGATCCATCTTCACTTCCAAGAATATAAGTCCGTGTATATCCTTCCACATGTATAGACTGAACATAAATTTGCACATACAGATCAATATCCACATGCATAACCACTTTTTTTTCCCCACTTATAATCCTATGCTTATTTGTACTAAAATCTGTCAACAATTTTTTCACCTTCTATTAGAAAAATAACGATATACAATGGAACCAAGGGATTTTTTATTTCTATTATTTCTATCAAAAGGGGAAGAGCATGGAAAATCAGTGAAATCAAACAAAGTCTGCTCGCGTTGGGGCTATAAATTCAATCCATTTATTCCAGATTCCTGATAAAATTGGTCTTTTTGGGTCCTCAAAGAATATGTCAACTTTTCCATTAAGAAAATTTCCAAAATTATTCCATACCAATCCTCCAATGTAGGAGGCACTGGGTTCAGCCATTTTCTAGTGATTGATTTTTTACTTGCCGCCAAAAGGGCCTGCAGCAGCTTTATATCTCTCCTTCCTGTCAAGAACACAACATGGCCCAGATAAAGAGTCTCCAAGTTCATGGGAATTTGAGTCCTAAATACCGTGGTTAATGTTTTGTGGATGGCATTCCAATATAGGTTCAATTTAGGGCAGTCCCAGAATATGTGGAAATGATTTGCCTCCATTGAGCCACACTGTTTCCAGCATGTCGAGCTCCTATTATTGTATTTTTCCTGGTGAGGCGTCTTAAAATATCTTATAACATTTTTCCAGCAGTGTTCTCTCCACTCCGTGGAGGCAGTTGAGGACCACTGGAAGCTGCAAACTTGCCCCCAGGTTTCCTCAGAGAGCCTTATTCCTGCTTCTTTTTCCCACTTATCTTTAATATATAAGGTGTTTTCATTCTTAGCGAAAAAAAGAGCAATTGACTTATTTGGTATTGCCTTAAAGGCTGAATTCAGGATCTTGTGAAACTCAAATTCTACTGTTGATAAATCTTTAAGACTGCACTTCTGATTAAAATAATGTCGAACTTGGAGGTATCTGAAAAAGTCACTATGTTCTAGGCCATGTTTGTCCTACAGAGACTTGAAACTCTGTAGCGTACCCTTGTGTGTAAAAGAAAGATAGGTTGTAAGTCCTTTCCTTGTCCAGGTTTCAAATCTTTTATCCGTCCTATTTAGTGTGAGATCTGAATCATATGCACACCATCTAAAAAGTCTTAGCATATCATCAATTCCATTTGACTTAACCACCTTATGCCATATATTTAATGTAAGATTTATCCAAGGGTTTTTTAACTCTTCAAATTGAGCTGCGAGACCTCTGTCAGCTATTGTTGCTTGTAAGGGAAAATTTGCTGCCATTTCTAATTCCATCTCCTTCCATTTGGCCTTGTACTCCCCATTGTACCAATACAGCAGAGGAATTAGCTGTGAGGCATAAAAGTACTTTCTTAGGTTAGGGAGAGCCATGCCTCCACTGTTTTTTCTTAGTTGTAAAATATTAAACCAAATTCTTGGTTTCTTTCCTTGCCAAATAAACCTGGAGATCCATTTATCCCATTCCTTGAATTGATTGTCATTCACCTCCACTGGGAGAGTCCGGAAAATATACAGTAATCTAGGGAGGATGCTCATTTTTACTGCGTCTATTCTTGAACTCAAACTCAAAAAAGGGTGGGGGGATTAAGGCCCAATCTATGCACATCTGATTTTATTTCAAAATAAGGCCCTATAATTTGCTTGTTATAGGTTTTGAGGGATCTTTCGTCAACCTATTCCGCTAGGATATTGTAGTGATTCAGGCTTCCCAGTTAATGTTATATCATCTTATAGATGTTTTGAAGCAATAAAGTTTAGAATCATTAATGTGTTTTCGATATGTTAAAGTTTATAGCCGATACCTTCCAAAATCAGTTCGCAATGTCATCAAACATGTAAAGATTTTTCAGGCTCTCACAGATAGACCAGGACATTCGTCAACAAATAAAGCACATTTCTGTTGATCCTGCCACCTTAATGCTTTCGGATACCTTCATTTTGTCTTATTGCTTGGCCCTAGGGTTCGATAAATTAGAGCAAAGAGAGGGAGGGATATTGGGCAACTCCTGCTAGTTCCTCTCTCCCAGCGTAAAAGAAATTTAGTAAGATCTCCATTAATCTTTATTCGTGCTGTCGGCTATCAAATAGGAGGCCTTGATTACTCTAAAAATCTATCCTTGAGAATCCCAATTTTCCCAAGATTTTATACAAAAAGACCATCTAATGAATCAAAGCCTTCTCCGGTCTAGTTCCAGTCTATCATTGTTCATTTTTGTCTTTGGTTATCTGTTCTAGAATGTGTAGGGTCCTTCTTATGTTGTCTAAAGTTTGTCTGTGCCGGATGAATCCAGTTTGGTCTAGGTGGATGAGGTTGGGTAACAGGTTTTCTAATCTGCGAGCTAAAATTGATGTGAATAATTTGTAATCCAGATTTAGAACACTGACAGGCCTGTAATTGCTACATTCCTGTTTGTCTTTATCCTCCTTGGGAATAACTGAGATAACTGCCTCCCTCCAGGAGGGAGGAATTTCTCCTTTTTGCATAATCCAGTTAAATGTCCTAAGTAGTAATGGAGATAACTATGGTTTCAAAGATCTCTACCACTCCGTGGTAAAACCATCTGAGCCTGGACACTTACCAATCTTTAATTAGAGATAGCCAAATCCAGTTCTTTGATAGAGATTGGCCGAGTTAACTCAACTTTATTCAAATTTGTGAGTCTGGGCAGTTCTAGGGAACTCAATAAAGCGTCAATTTGGTTCTCATTGGAAGCCTGGGGTTGGTAATACAGCTCCCGTTAAAATATCTCAAAGCTCTCTTGGATTTTCCCTAATTTATCTTTGACCTGTTTTGTTTTGGGATTTTTAATTTTATAAATCGTATTTTCAACCTGTTGTTTGCGTAATTTGTACGATAAAAGTTTTGCTGATTTGCCTCCTACTTCGTAATTCTTTTGCTTCAGGAAGAGCAGCCTTTTCTGTGTTTCTAGTGTGTATAGATTATCGATTTCCTTTTGCAGTTGTTTAATTTCTCCTTTGTGGTTAAGATTACCTCTATTGCTATCAGCAGCTGTTTTAGTTTTCCCTGCAGGTTCGCCAATCTTTGACCTCTAAGCTTCTTCTGATATGTAGTAATAGAAATAATTTTCCCTCTCATTATGGCTTTCAATGTGTCCCACACAATTATTGGTGATACTTCTCCTGAATCATTAAATTCTAAATACTCTTTAATGTCTTCTTTAAGTTTCTCCAGTATTTTTGGGTCATTAAGAATGTTTGAGTTTAATTTCCACTTCTTATTTTCTTTTCCAGAATTAATGACAAAGAAATCAGGCTATGGTCTGAAAGGTCAATTGTTGCAATATTACAGTCTTGTATTTTAAATTTATCTTTACTAAACATGAAGAAGTAGTCTATCCTCGAGTAGACTGAATTTGGAAAAGAGTAATGTGTATAGTCTCTACTGGAGGGGTAAAGTTACTTCCACACATCTATAATGCCCAGCTCGTCCATAAAAGATTTCACTTTCTTAATCAGGGGCCTATTCTGAATAGCTTCTCCTGACGAATCCAGTGCTGGGTTTAGCCTAATATTAAAATCCCCACCACAGATTACCACTCCCTGAGAGTTGACCATTAGGTCAAATATACGTCTATATAATAGCCATTCGCTTCCTGTTGGGGCATAAACATTCAATAATGTTATTTCAGTCCCCTCTATTCTCCCTGTGATGCTAATAAATCTCCCCTCTTTGTCTTTGGTCTCTGAAAGATGCTCATAGTTAAGTGTACTTGATATAAGGATGGCAACTCCTCTTCTGTGACCCAGCTTATATGATGAGTAAAATACATGTCGGAAGCCTAACCTTTTTAATTTTTCATGTTCGGATTGACTCATATGTGTTTCTTGGAGGAGAGCTACTTGGGCCTTCTCTTTTTTAAATTTTGACAAAATCTTAGTTCTTTTAACTGCATTCAGAACCCCATTAACGTTAAATGAAATTATTTTCACAGGTCCATTATGCATTTTGTTTAAACTGAAATAAATGATCACTCTTCCCTTCAAAATAAACAGTAAGTAATCCCTTCTCAACCAAGAAAACAAAACCAGTGAGGTCTCTTCGTAGACCTGTCTGACTCTGAGGGATAACCTCTGTATCCTAACTGGACTAGAGGGCCCTCAGTCTTGATAGCAGTCGTGATAGGAACTCTCTTTTTTCTATATATGTATATGTCTCGACTGTATCACTAAGATTTACATTATTTCGTCTAATGTATTTTCTTAATACTTACGAACCTATACCTGATCCTCACCAGTCTTAAATCAGTCTGTGTTCTCCGTTTGTTCACGTCTGAAAACTTGCAGCTTTTCCCTGTAACTTGCTCCGCTGCTCCGAGGTGTGCGCCGAGTTCTCGCCTGCTGCCATGAACACCACTGGATCCTCTCCAGAAGCGATTTCGGTTCTGTAATTACTTTCACTGGCAATCCCCGGACTGCTAGTTCTGACGTTGCCTCTCCTCATTCACCACAATCCTCGCCTCAGCTTCATCCATCCTCAAATTAGTCTTGGCTATTTCTCCTTTGATATCTTCAAGTTGTTTTTTGTTGTCTTGTCTGAACTCCCGTATCTCTTTGAGGATCAGAGCTAGGTCCGCTGATTTTTCTCTGACGTCCCCTCGGTTGCTATTCGTGGGAAGGCTAACGTTAGCCTTACCTTCCACCTGTTGCTGCATCTCGTTAGTTTTATCGAGGTTCCGAGCGGGCATTTTACCTTTATTTTTAGACGTCATCCTCACCCCTTCTATGGATTTACATAAGATAATTCA